ATTTAGGCCAATTTATGAAAATTGAAGTTGAAATATACTATACTTTTATAGGTCATGTAAATGTTCCATTAAATTCGAAACTTTTCTTAGTGGAAAACATTAATATGTTTGATATTTTATGAGAGATGAATGTATCAGCTTCAAAATAAAAAAGATTGCGCAGCCATAGTGATTGACAGTATGTAGTGCGCATTGAGAAAAGAAGGTGCTCTCCATTTCGTCATGAGTACTAATGCTGTCTCTTATACACATCTAGATGTGTATAAGAGACAACTTCAAAGGCATCGCGCAAACGTTCTTTACGCGCTGCGGCAACTTTGATCTTGGTTCATTTGCATAGCGCTGCGTGTGCGTAGCTTTGCCGAGTGATCTCCTTCTCAATAATACCTCCATGGTTTTATATAAGTGCGCATTCAATTTGACTACAATTGCATCCTCTGTACTTCTATTGTTTCCATATGCAAACTGCATGGGCTCGCTATGTGAAGCGACAATGGGTTGGACACAATGGTTCATAACAATCTTTTCGCAAATTTTGCAAGGTACACAGGTAAGAGCAACTGGCCTGAGGTCATAAGAACCCTTAATTACACGACCCTTTGGCAAAGATACAAGATACGATTTTGTCCATAGTACTGGCAGAGCTTTAATTGTAAAACAAAGGTTAAAAATAGTAACAAAAAATGTAAGAAAGTTGCATTGCACATGCTTTTAATACAATCAGCTTAACATTATCAGGTCCCGGACTTTTCTTAGCATTGTTATTTTCAAAATATTTATATACATCTCCAATATTTGTCTCAATTTTAATTTTATTTACACAATCTTCGTCTGCTAGTTCTAGCTTATCAAATCTTTCTTTAATTTTCCTTGAAAAGTTGTGTACTGTACATCGAACCGGTAAAAAAGGACATTTAACTAATTTGCATATTCTCTGTCAATCTTTGGTAGCCTTACTGATTTATGTTTAGCGTTTGTATAATTACTCATTTATTTTAGACCCTGCCATACTTGTTTCATATTATTTTCGGTAAATTTCCTTTCAACCTTATCTTTAAAGTTAAAGTTTAAGTATTGGACATTTTAGTTCCTTTGGAACATCTTTGCGTTTAGCTTTGTTATTCTCTTTAAACTCTTTCTTTTTTTCTGTTTATAATATTTCTTATTTCATTGGTTATCTAAGATTTATTATTTGCAAAATATTTAACTCTTTTCGTTTGGATGAGCAAATCAGTACAGAAATTAATATACATACAAACAGATTCAGCTAGTTAATTTAAGTCGTTAGTACAAAGACCTCTCAGTCGGTCTCATCAAATGCATCTTGTAGTTGTTCTATCGCTTCTCTTGTCTATTTTTTAACAGTGCTGATCCTTGGTTTCTCTCGTTTCACCAATGTTAAGTATTTAGGACTCAATAAAATTAAATTATGATCCCCGAGGCATGACAATTGGGTTGAGACATAGGCATTTTTGACAGTCGAATAACACAAGTCAAGAATGGAATCCTCACGAGTAGGGCAAATAACGTGCTGATAGTAGTGCTCGCTTGTTCTCCTTAGTGATCCTCGTTTACAACAATAAATGTATCTGGCGATGCTGCTTCTAAAACTTGAATAACCTCACTTGTTGACAGAATTTATAAAATCAGTTGGAAGGGTTGACAAGTGTAAAAGGAATACTATTAGGAAATGGTTACCCCTACGTCATTGATAAAATTTGCAAACAATAAATTGACGATAGTATAACAAACGACACCAATCAAGGTTGACAATGATGATGCTTACAAATTAACATATCTTAAACTTCCATATATTGATGAATTAACAGTGAGATTAGATTACGAATAAAAGAATCACTACATATTGAATGGAACAATCCAAACCTTAACGTTCAACTCAAACACCTAAGCTTACAATTGTTTAATTAGTATGCAGTACTAATGTATGCAAGATGTTCCACACACCTTGCATAATGACTATAGTTTATAACGATCGTTCGTTACCCTAATTGGTAATACTTTGGCTAAACTCCTTAATATTCATTTAATTCATTGTATATATACTTTTAGTTAAGAATGACGATTTTTTTTTTCTTTTGCTTTTCTGTTTGTACTGATGATGGGTTGGAGAGAATACACGAAACATGTATACCATTAAATCCTTAGTTCTTTTCTTAAAATGTGTTTTTTTCATCAATTTACGTTCGTTTGGTTCAATTTTTAAGGACTTTAGTTCGGAAGATCTGCCTTTTTGTTTACTCAGGAAGTAAGAGAAGATATCCTTACGTTTCATTAAAGCGGAATTGTATTATAATTTCTTACACAATTGCAAAGCGTTTGGCGTTTTCACGAAATTACATATACATATAAAGTACGTGATGATTATATGCTTTCGGTACACCATGTGGTATAATATGTTACATATCTGAATTGATTTATTTTGCTTTTAAGCGAAGACATTTGGATTCTCAGAACTAAAAAAATACATCAGTTGGTGTACTTAAAGCATAAAACCAATATAGTTCATTCGCCATGCAAGACTTAAAATATATTCGTAATAACAATTGCACTTAAAATATTAACACATATCACTTCAATAAACTATGCTTACAATAACAATTAAAATACAGTGTATAATCCTAATGATTATTAATAATTAATAAACAGATGAAATATATTAATTATTATTTTCAGCTATTGTGTGAAAAATACAACTAAAATAATATTTGATTTCCAAGCTGTGCGTCTTATAACCTTAAATGGAATGATATGTGATAGGTCTCAATGCACGCCTTGCAAACAAGGACACTTTGGAACGGATAAGAAGAACGTGTGCTTCGCATGTCCACCAGGTGATAATACATTATAAAAAATAGGCTTCCAGCGGGAGAGTGTATCTACTGCTTTGGTTTTTGTGTCTACTACCCCCAAGGGGCGTAGACACTATGTCATGATGTAGCGATTAAAGATGGCGGAAAAGTGTAATTCCGGTTTAGGCATGACGGGTACCAGTTATCCTGGATAGTAGATCCCTGATAAAAGATCATGAGAAATTTGTTGGCGTTTCATTTTGACTATAATGGTAATGTGATGATGATGAATTTTACTATGTAAAAGTGTCATTTCCGGCCATCTCGAGAGGTACCATTTCCTCAAATTTTCTCACCTCAGCCCCAGCGGCGTATCGGGGGGGGGGGGGTGACACCCCACAAAAAGCTTGCGCCCCCCCACCATTCGAAAACTTCGAAGCAAAAAAAAATAGGCTAGGCTTATGCTTCTGCTTATGATGTCACGGTTAACGTGTATTCGGGAATCTAAGAAGCAATATTTTTCAGTGGGCGTGGCCACCGAAAATAAATTCCACGCCCCCCTCATATTTTGGTCGGCACTTCATTTTGACTAATGGTGATGTGATGATGATGAATTTTACTAAAAGTGTCATTTCTGGCCATCTAGAGGTACTATTTCCTCAAATTTTCTCACCTCAGCTCCAACCATTGTGGGGCTGAGGTGGGTGTCGACTCACAAAATGCCCTCCCCCTCCACCTTTCAAAACAGGTCTGTGCCCTTCCCTGGGTATGACATTGAACTCCAGCAAATCGGCTCCTGATGTATGTCTTAGTGACTGCTGTTTGTTTTTAGGATGTGATCTGGTTTTTCAGGTCCATTTTTCGTGATTATGACTATTCTGGCAGTGGATAAAGAATGTTTTGAGCAGAGGTGGATTTAAGGGGCCCCCCCCCCCTTCATTTTTTTAAGGAAAAAAAAAAGAGAAAAATATATTCAAATTGAAGTGCGAGAGTGTAATTTCCGACCATCTAGAGATGCCCTAGTAATAAATTTTCTTGCCTCAGTCCCAACCATGGTGGGCTGAGGTGGGTGGTTCCTCGGTTTGTGAAAGTCCCTCCCTGGTTCACCTCTCTTTCGAATTCCTGGATCTGCCTCTGTTGATTTATTATATAATTATTTTTGCGCTTATTTATAATGCGTCTATTTCAATTTTCAATTTATCCTCTATTCGCCTCCTTGACCCCGCCGGGGTCCAACGTAATTTGCATAACGGCTCCCCCTTTCAAAATCCTGGCTACGTCCCTGACGGGTACTACTACCACGAGGTAGCGGGCGCTCTATTCATAATCGAATAGCGTTCGGACTTCAAACAAAATTGCGTTCGAAACTCCTTTCAACGTCATTTAAAGGACGCCCTCTAATAATAATAATTATAATAATAATAATAATAATAATAATAATAATAATAATGATAAGGTAAGAACTTATATAGCGCCATTTAAAAAACCGAAGTAATTATCAGTGGCGCTTCATGTTATTGTTGGAATAAGTGCGTTTTGAGTGATTTTTTAAATAAAGCAATTGATTGAACATGGTACTATTCGTGATCAACGATATAACGTGGTAACTCCAAGAGTTACTCATTTTAAAAGTGTTTTTTAGTGTAATATAGTAGTAGGCCTATACATTGTTATGAAAGAACATTTTCATGAAAAATCCAGATACACTACAATACTACACACATCTGCATATTGAAGAACATAAGATAAAAAAAAACAAAAAAAAAACAAACTCCTGTATAAGGCAGTAGACACACGTTCCCGCTGGGAGCCTATTTTTTTTTCTTTATCTTTTTTCATTCCTGACGGTTTACTCTAATATATACATATATTATATATATATATATATATATATATATATATATATATATATATACAATAAATGACAAACAGGAAAACATCGGTTACATCATGAATTTAATACTGCTTAAATTTGCAGGCTTTAAGAGATCTTCAGGTACGTTCTATCAAGGTGCAGATACAGTGAAAAACCAGCCCTGTCCTTTTGTTAAAAGATCTGAGCTTATTACTAGTGATTATAAAATATTTTTCCCGTAGACATAAGTTACATTTCTTAGAGCTAGGGGAGTAAAATGATGATGATGATTAGTGGCGAATTGATTGGCCGAGCGGTTAAGTCAGGGGCACCGTAACCTTCAGCTCTAATATAGGCGCTGGTTCGAACAGCTCACTCGCCAATGGTTCCGGTGGTGGAACAAGTCTTCTTGGATAAGTACATTAATCTGTAGGCCCAGTGTACGCATTTGGCTCGTGTGCACTTTAAAGAACCCAGCACATCCTTCGAGAGTAGGGGTTACCCCGATGTACTGGTCCGTTAAGTCCCCTGTTGTTAAATGGATATGCCACGTAGGACAGTGATTAAGTTCGCTTATTGGCATTTCCTTGGCACTTGTGCTAAATGAAATGATTTTTGGGAGTTCAGTAGCGTTATGTTTACTCAGCAATTTAAATGTGGTGGTTGAATCTAGTAATTTACTTCAGTAAGAACTATGTAGTTTTTGACTTCACCTGGTGTGGATACCTTTATACCTCGTTTGTCAGGCATTTGCCTTCGAGTGGGCACTGGTTTTTGATACAGCAGCATAAACTTTGTTGCGTGTCGGTTGATCTAGTTTTGTTTAGAACCATTTGATGGTGTTTACGATCGACTAATGTTGTGCTGCTACGCCTGTGAATTGAAAAGCATGCATGATATTATAGCTTCAGATTGTCGAGAAAAGGTATGGCATGAACAGAACATACACATAGTGATATACTAAGCATGAGCGGTAGGTCTACCCTGATTTACGGCGCGTCCTACCTGACCAGAAAGTTGTAATTATTCTGTTCGCCTGGCATGTGCATGTCCTAATTACTTGAAACAAAGAAGGTGCTCTATGAATAAACATGTTGTTATTCTATAATCACGGATATGCCCTAATTTTAATAATGGCTTATGGACAGTCATGATTTTTCGCAAATTTAAGTTGATGGAACGTCATTTTTTGCATGTGAGAAATTACACCATGGAGTAACAGTAGAGCCCCTGTAAATGATTAATGATCAAAAGTAAAAGACTGTAATGTGTAGTACAGTATCCCATGTACACCAATGTCTTTTCTACATACTGAGAGGATAACATTCTGGTTTGATGGTTTGTTTTAGTTTATTGTTGAATTCATTCAAAATATAAATTTGAATGAATGTTGAGGCTATTGTGGCTGTTTCGATGTAATAATGACAATAAGTGTCCCCTTAACAGGGTTTTTTTAAACCATGTAACACACTGAGAAAGTGTCTCCGTCCCCTTAAGGGGTGTCCTCTAAATATAGGTTGGCCGTAGTAAAGATATATTTCTCCTCGTTTCACAGGAATTGTCCCCTGGGAGTCCAAGAGGAGGGTCTTCTCATTGTATTAACCTCCTTGAGTGTACGTTAGTAGATCAAAACATAGATGACATCGGGTTTTTGGTATCTATTTCTTCACCAATATGCAAATGCAAATGACGATTACGACGTGCATGATGATAATATATTTAAGAAGTAGACATGAATAATAATAATAATAAATATTTATATAGCGCCTAATGTTAATAACCTCTAGGCGCTTAACAACAACATAAAGCAGCGATGCAGGAGATGGTGACATTCAAGTGGTCTCACCCACTGATGTCAAATTAACGCCGCTGTCTCAATGAGGCAATTTACACGCAGGTAATCCACAAAAGGCAGCATGCTGGGCTCCGGCACTTTCCACCACATAAGCCTGTGGCTCCACTACCGTTACCAAATTTTAAGTCACGTTTCTGGCCGCTGTCAATGAGTGCATAGTGGTATATTCAAATGTCCTGGTTGAATAATTGTTCAGAATGCGATACGTTCGTAATCGAGCGTTGATCGCTTCTGTATCGTCACGGCCAATGCTGTAGCCTGTTATTGGGACAATCGGGACTGTCCCGCGTAATTTTCCTTCAATTATTTTTCCTATTTTTTAAATATAAAAAACAAAATTTAACCATGGGATGGGTCTACATTAGATTTTAGGTATAAAATAAAGTCAACATTTTAAAAATGGTCCACATTTATTCAGTTTATATACGCATGAAATTGGGTCCATTTATTTTTAAAGATGGGTCCACGTTACTCTATTACTTTATTACCTACCTTGGTCACGTTATAAACAATAACATTAGTGATGAGTGTGACATTAAACGTCAACACCGTTCGCTATGTGTAAGAGCTAACTCTCTTAGTAGGAAATTTGGTAAATGCTCCATACGACTAAAAAATGTTATTTGTTTAAATGCTATTGTGTTAGTATGTATCGTTCTACTCTTTGGTGTAGATATAACAAAGGTACTATAAGATCGTTAAAAGTCTGCTATAATAATGCCCTTCGTTTTATTACTGCGACAACCGAGGCACTGTAGTGCGAGTTTTATGTTTGTATCCAATGGTGTACCGTCCTTTGACGAGTATCTTAGAAACTCTATACATAGTTTCAGGAACCGTGTGAAAATCACCTCTAATTCAATCATTTTGTTCATTAAGCATTATGCTCTTTCCAATTCTAAAATGTATAATAAGTGGAACATTGTCGTCCATTAAGATGATTTCCTGATCTTGATGTTTTTCTTGATTCAGTCTATTTTTCACTTTTCTCTTATATTTATATGTATTTGTATTGGTTTAACTGTTGTTCTTTTGTATGGACATGAAATTCCGAAATAAAAGATGAATGAATGAATTAATGAATGAATGTTACTTAAATTTTATGCGTAAAATAGGTAAAAATGTTTAAATGGGTCCCCATTATTTAGTTTTTACGTGTAAACTGGGTCTGCTGGGTCCAAAGGCGTCGATCCGTGGCTGAAAGTGGTGGCTGAAAGTGGGGGACGAGATGAAAAATAAAGCCTTGGGCCGTAGGCCCAAGCAATGGTTGGGGACCAGGGGCGAAGCCCCGGAAGCTCTGGCGCATATAGTTAATTGATTTTAAGCAATGCAATTAACATTTATTTCCATACGAAATTTTTAAAATCCAGTAGCGGATCCAGTAATTTTAAATAGAGCTGGGCCCAGAGAGGAACTTTTACAGATGGAGAGTGTAGCTGGACTACCACCTCAGCCCCAACATGGTTGGGGCTGAGGTAAGAAAATTTATGATTATGGCAACTCCAGTTGGACGGAAATGGCACTCTCAGACTGAATTTGAATATAATTTTAGTTTTTCTCCACTTTTAAATTTCGAAAAAAAAAAAAGTAGTGATGGTGGGCCGGCTAGTCCCCTTGAATCTGCCACTGAAATACTCATCATAAAAATTATCCTTTTTTAGTCATAATTATGCCCGCTTATATATTTCGTGCAAACTAACATTCATAAAAATAATGATTTATTTAGTTTATCTACTGATTAGCTTGTAACGTATTCAAAATTCGAACAATGAAAAAAACAAATAAGATAAACTTAAAACACTCATTAATTTAGTCTTTTTGCATGCACAGTACTTTTAAAATCAATCAAGAGGTTTTTGCTTTTCTCCTCTTTTTGAATTTCACTTTTGTGTAAGTAATATTGCGATAAATTATTGTGAGTGGAAATAATACCGTTTAATTTACGATCAAACAGGACAGCTTTAAAGCTAAAACAAAGACTGCCATGCCGATCCGATCAAGTGCCTTGACAATCAACAGCATTTCAAACAACTCAATCACTATAGTATTCCAATCTTGTCATCTCTGGAAGCAAATCGAAGAAATTTCTTTCTTTTTGATTCCTTTTATTTCATTTCCAAAAAAATATTGAAACCAAATTTCGCCGACGCAGTAGCAACACGACAGACCAACAAACAAAAACAAAGAGATAATAAAAATAAAAATGATATAATAATAATAATAATTATGATAATATTATTATTATTATTATTACCATTATTATTATTATTGAGATATTGTTTTTGGAGGCATCAGTGTGCAATTGTTTATTCACGATTCTTTATTAAACAGTACTTACTAGTGTAGCAAATATCAATTCAAGGGGTTTGTATTGAAAGTCTGTCGTTTTACAACCACTAGGAAGTTATAGCAGACCTACAGTGTATGGTTCGAAGGCGGGAAGTTTGCTTAGGTCCGACCAATCAAAATGAAGCCCATTGCATAAGCCAAAATGCAAGCCTAATTTGCATACATCACTCTATATAAATGTATACGAGACTGCATTGCATTTGACTTTAGATGATAGCGGAGTCGAAGTGGGTAACACAGCACTGTGTTGAAAGCGGAAACGATTATATTAAAGATAAATTGCATAGAGCATTGTTGGTGACATTGAATATATTATTTTCAAACGTTTCTTAAACTATAGATCAGAGAATTAAATATACTTTTTATCTTCAAGTGCTAAAGTGATTTTAATATAGGCCTACAAGATATACCTGGAAATTGAATAAAACAAATAAAAATAAAATACCACAATTTTGAGTGAATTCAGTAATTAATTAATTAATTCTGTAATTTAGATGCATAAACAGAGCAATATATAAAACACTTTAACATGCCTGATTTTTTTTTTAGAAATCTTAACAAGCAACCATTTTCTTTTGGAACATTGGAAAACAATTTTGGCAATATTCTTAAGTTCAATTTCCAATCAATTTTGATTAGTTTGTAGCACCTGGCTATTAGCTTACATCATAAGCTAGCCTGAGTTCCATAATAAATATAAATATAAATTTGGGTTACTCACTTTTTATTGCGCGCCATACCTAACTTGTTTGACCTGGTTAGGGCCTGGGGAAACACAGCCTGACCATTCATGCGTACAATTTTAACACATATATGCGCATACAGTGTATATATATTTATTATATGTTTATATATATATATATATATATATATATATATATATTGTCTAAATTATCTTTTAAAAACAAAATATTGTAGAGCAATTTTATTATTTTATGCATAAATCCTAAGCAAAAAAATAAAAAAATAAAAAAAATAACCGAAGCATATTAACTTTTGTCCCGTGTTTGACCAATTTTGCGAAACTCAGTTTTCCGAATGCAAGATATGCTAAGTTTACTTTTTCCGAAACCCAGTTTGCCAATGCCATTTCAATGCCACATTTCGACCCACTATCCTAAAACAGTTGGTCGAATCCCCTATTCACCGTCGTTGGTCGTCGTGACAAAAAGTTGCAGCCACTGTCCAGTGGCGGTGCTAAGATTTCCCCGACAGGGACCAAGGTCCCAGACAGGCGGGGCCGATGACTCAAATGAGAGCAAAGTGTACGACAATTTAAGAGTTTCAAAGCTTTATTTAATCGCTTTTAAAGTCTACTATTGTGTAAAAGATACATATAATTTTTTTTATTCCCCAAAGAATTTTTTCTCCCCGATGGGGGAGGGATGTGTAAAGCCTTTAGCCCCCTTACTCTCCCGTAGCACCGCCACTGCTATTGTCATGTGCATGGTAAATTGCGTAGGCCTATATAGGATATTTGACATGAGGTCATGGCTGATGGGGCCCCAAAGATTGAGTGGGGAGCGGGGGCTCGATGGTAATATAACAAGGAGCCACCTGACAAAAAAAGTTGAAATGAGGTGGTTAATAGCTTTAGTGTAGTGTTTTATAATACGATAAATAAAACATGTAATCATTGACAAATCAAAACAAAAGATCAGTGAATCAACAAAATAACAACGCGATAAAAAAAAAAATACCACTGCTCTATAACTAAATAGAACAGTGGTAGAATTTTTAAAAAGGTCCCACCTGACTTAACCTTTAATTTTACTCAGGTGGTTTCTACCAAGATCAGCTAGGAAGTTATACGCCAGATCACATGCATTACAGTAGTAACTGTAAAAGATGTCCAATTGGAACTTATTCACCGAGTGCTGGTGCTGGCTCAATTGCTGATTGTCAAACTTGTCCAGCTGGAACAAAGACTGACCAATTGGCGAATCTTAATTCCTGCGATTGTCTTAAGAATTTTCATCGAACTGAACGATACGGCTCATGCCAACTCTGCCCTGAAGGTATCAACTGCACAAAAGGTTTTCAGACATTGATTGATGGTTACTGGTGGTGTTGGGACTTCCCTGCAAATTTTGGGAGTAAAGAGGAATATAAAAACTTTATTGAACAGATAAGTGGAAATATCGTTAATGAAAGCAATCCAAATGACTTGAAGAATACCAAATACAATGGAATATTACCCGCATGCCATAAATGCCCACGATCAAAAAGTTGCAATGGCGGCAGTATCAATGCCAGCTGTTCGGAGGGTTATTCTGGCTGGTTATGTGCAGCATGCAGTCCTAACTATTACGAATTATTCAACAGTTGCTATAAATGCCAACATACTGCTGTTATCATCATTGAATTTGTTGTAGTCATGGTCGTATTCTCAGGTATTGGATATGTAGTGTGGAAATTGGAAAAACAAGGAAGAGGTAGAAATAGGCCTATAAACCACATGGATTCTTTTGTGACACATATAAAGATCGCTATTAATTTCTATCAAATTCTTGGAATACTAGCTCAAGTGAATGAAATTCATTGGCCGAATGATTTCCAATCAGTTGGAGAAAGTCTTCAATATCTAGACGTTATACGCTATATCAATATTCTAAGCCCAAAATGTATATTTTACAATTCTTGGGACGCGTATATGCTTCTCTATATTGCAATAGCCACACCCTTCATCATCATGTTTTTGACAGCTGGTGCATTCCTTACTTGGCACGTCGCCAATCGATGCAGGGGCGATTATTCGGTCCATCATCTTAAAGATAAGTGCTTGTCCATCGCAGTTTTGATGTTGTACTTGACATACGCAAACACTTGCACCAATATCATGGCGGTAGGACCGTGGTCTATTCGTATATTTGATGTAACAGCAGATGGAAAATACACAAAAGAAGTATTAACTTCTGACTACTCCATCGACGTTGGATTCAACAATGGTTCCGTGTATAATACCAACAAGAACATTGTTTATTGTTCTTTGGTTTACGTGGTCGGATTTCCATTTTCTGTTGTCATCATATTATACTATAAATACATACGGCACAGGCGCATTGAAGACGGACGACATAGAATTATGGGACTGAAGTTCTTCTGTAGACAATACAACAGCAAGTTCTGGTATTGGGAAATATTTGAGATGTACAACAAAGCAATTCTCGCCCTCATCGCCAACTTCAAGGACGACCAATCTTCAAACCTGTCTTATTCGCTATTTGTCACTGTCATTCTCATTGCTTTACACCTGTACCTTGAACCAATGAAGGTTAAATCAGATCAGAGGTTCCAGTTGTTGACATTGATCTTTATAATTGTCAACTTGTCGGTTGGCGCGATTGTTGATTTGGATGAGACATTGTACACTGCAGACCACACGATTGCTGTACTTCATGATATTACACCGTTTATTCTTCTGCTTCTCAACTTATCCATTCTTTTTATGGTTTTCGGTAGGTTTTCATTTAATTTTTATTATAGCCATAACTTTGAATATAATAAACGTAATATTTGTTTTCTGTCTACAGTAAAATAACTTGAAGCTAACCCAGGGTTTTAGCCAGGAAAAAAATACAGGGAGTCCAAATAGTTGGTGCTAAGCACCATTCTAAGGGTGTGGCTCCCAGTTTGGGCGTAGAGGGTGTTCCTCTAAAGGTAAAAAGAAAACGATACCATGCCCCATAACAAAACCAAAAGGCCTAAGTTATTCTTATATCTATTGTGTAGATCCCCATTTGACTTAGACAATGATAAATTTATTTTGAAATTGTCACAGCAGCTAGTGCTAAAGGAAAAAGTACTATTATGTAGAAACATTCATTGATAGGCGTCTATCATGGAAATTGGAAACAAAATCGAGAAAAATTATTGGTATAATACAATATGGACTGACATTTTTTCTCCCCAATTATATTCTCCGAACTCTGTTGTTCCTTTGTTTGTCCATACTTGTCATACTGCAATATTGTATGGTGTAACACATTTCCATCGAATCTAAGTAAACTTCAAATACTCCAAAAATAATCATACGAATAATCTCTGGCGTCCCACCAAGAACTAGTACAGAACCTTTATTTAATTCTCTAAATTTACTAAAACCCAAAGATCTTAAGACACTCCAACAATGTTTTTTTTTTTTGTATATATAAAAAACTCCATTCTTCCATCTCATTTATGTTCTATATTTGCACCTAATAACGAATTACATGACTATAGTACCAGAATAACTCTACATTTCCAAACACACAAAAAAATTTCATTTCAGCATAATATTAGATACACTGGACCTAAAATATGGAATTCGCTCCCTCTAAACATCACTAATTTACCATCCAAACAAACTTTCATTTCTAAAGTTAAAAATTATTTAATGAATAATAATATTGATTAAATTATTTTCATATGTTAATTGATATTTTACTAATAACACCAGTAATTTTAGTTTTATCTTTCCTTGTAATTCTAATTATGTATTTATTTTTAGAATTTTCAATTTAAATATTTAAATGCTTTATTATCATTACTATTATCATCATTAAAAATGTTTGTCAGTTGTTTTAAATGTTTTGGGCACATCCAATGTTATTTTTTAATTGAATTGAAGTTGAACATCAATGACGTCACTTTTTTGCTATTATTCAGTTGAATTACTCAAGAATATCAAAGAAAATATCTGGAAAGAACTCCGTAACCACAGTGAGCTGACAGATTATCCCAGTTATATAGATTTGGATGTTGATAACCATCAAGAACAAGCTATATTACTAAACGCAGCATCTTCTGGCAACTCATCAACATCACGCGTGATATGATTACATCTGAATTATTCTTACATGAAAATAGTAGCACAGCGCTATGCGCTATGTCTAAAATGTGTAATTTTGTAGTTGTTTGCATAGTGTCCTAAATAGGAGGATGCATTTCCACTATGACAATACAGAT